GCTTCGTGCGCACGTTCGCCACGAGCCGCCCGATGATGCGCTCCGCGCCGGAGTTGACGTCCTCCTTGCCCGCGTCGTCGGAGGCCGCCGTCGCCGGCCGGCTCCCCGGGCCGCCGCGCAGGAGCATCCGCACGTCCTCGATGGACGCTAAGCGCGCGGCGATCGCGTACGCGTTGTTCGCCAGCAGGTTCGTCGAGTCCGGCAGATCCACCTTGAACTTGCGGCGGCACTCGAAGAGCAGCTTCCGCAGGTAGTCCCTCCGGTGCGACGGCGGCACGCGGCGCCGCTGCAACTTCCGGAGCTCGTCCTCGAGGTCCATGTCGACCATGTCCAGCTGCGCCTTGACGCGCGCGTCCTGCGTCGCCGCCGCCCCGAAGGACCGCGGCGCGCCGCGGGGCGTGCCCTTGGCCGCGGACCCGGGCGTCGACGGCGGCGCGGGCGCGGGCAGGCCGCCGAAGGACGACCCGCGCCGCGCGGACGACCGCGGGCTCGACGGCGCGGGGCTCCCCAGGGGCGACAGCGCCGGCAACGCCCCGACGACGTCGCCGCCCTCGCCCTCGGCGTCGGGCTCCGCGCGCGCGCCCACGGCGAAGATCTCGACGCGGCGCTGCTCCGCGACCTCGTGGCACCGCGCCTTCGCCGCGCGGTAGTAGTCCGTCTCCGCGTCCTGCCACAGCATGTTCAGCAGCGCGAGGCGGTGCGACGACACGACGGCGAACTCGCGCCAGTAGCGCTGGACGCGCCGCGTCGCCTTGAGCAGGTTCTTGATGACGCGGTGGATGTGCTTCCGCGCGTTCGCGTTCTCCGTCAAAAAGTGGGCGATGACGTCGACGGCCTTGCCCTTGCGGTTCATGAGCATGGTCGTCCGCTTCGCGGCGATGTAGGACCTGGGCGGGAAAAGAGTGCGACATTCCCAACTTTGGAGGCTCCTCTCTCGGTCGTTTTCCACTCGTTTCGGCTGATTTTTGGACGAGCGATCATCTCTCGGAACGGTCTCGAAGCATGGATGTCTTTTCCGGAACGCGCGCGCGCGGAACACTCACGTTGAAGCGAACTTGAATCTCTCTCTTTCCGGCCCTGCGTAGGACGAGATCTTCTTCGCGGAGTCGCGGTACCTCCGGCCCCGGTCGACCTCCGTCTTCCGCCGCCAGAGGTTCTGCACGCGCGACGCCGCGCCCTTGACGGCGCGCCCGCCGCCGTACTGGTCCGACTCCCGGGTCCGTCTATCATAAGACCGCTTCGTGTCGACGGCGTTGCGCGCGAGGACGAGCGCGGCGAGCCAGGGCCGCGCGCGCTGCTCGTCCTCGAGGCGCTCGGCCTTGGTCTTGACGACGCGCGCCGTCTTCCGCACGTAGGCCGATAAAATCCGCTCGCTGCGCTTCGAGTGGAAGCTCTCCCGGTTCGAGCGCACGGACGCGTGCTTCTCCGCCAAGGTCCTTCGCGGCGACTCGGCCGCGACGCGGTGCGCCAGCGCGCGCTGGCGCCGCACGTCGGGGTCGTTGCGCCGCGCCTCCTGGCGCTTCTCCTTCAAATAGTCGATCTTCTTGAAGAACTCCTCGCGCGCGTCCGCGTCGCCGTTCAGGCTGTCGAGCCGCGCGTTCAGCGCCTTCTCGAGGGGCGTCGCGTACTTCAGCGCCACGTCCAGGGACCGCTTGAGCTGCTGGTCCAGCACCCGCAAGTTCATGGGCACGCCGGCGCGCTTCTTCCCGTCGCCGTCCCGCCGCGGCGGCGGCGCGCAGGGCAGCCCCGCGGCGGATCGCGGCGAGCCGAGGCTCAAC